GCGATGGCTGACGTGTTCACGGGCGCCGACCCGGCGGCCCCGGACGCGGCGCGGCGCTTCGCCCGCAAGGGCGCCCTGCGGCAGAAGAACGTGCATGAGGTGAAGGAACACAAGTTCACGGCGCGCTTCTTCAAGCAGCCCACCTTCTGCAGCCACTGCACCGACTTCATCTGGTGAGACCCTGCCGCCACCTCCCCTCCCCTCTCCCGCCCGCCCGCTGCCATCGCTTGCGGGAGACCGGGAGCCGCGCGGCGCCCCTCCGGGGGGGGGGGGGGGGGAAAAAGGTTTGCCCGCAGCTGCTGGGAGGGGGGGGGGGGGGGAGAAAAAATTTTGCCCGAGCCGGCGGGGGGGGGGGGGGAGAAAAAATTTTGCCCGAGCCGGCGGGGGGGGGGGGGGGTAAAAAGTTTGCCCGCAGCTGCTGGGAGAGGGGCGGTGGAGGGAGAGCCCTTCAAATAGAGCAGGGGGTGGGCGTGCAAGCTCTGCTCGCTCACACCCCGTGCCCATAGTGGGGCGATCGTGCCCGTCGTGCTCCCTCGTGGCCCATGGGGTGAGCGGGTGTGCACACCTAGGTGTGCGTGGAGCACAGGTTCACAGCGGTAACAGAAAGGGAAGAAAACACAACTTGTTTGCTCAGGGAGAAAGACTTTGTGGCTTGGTGTGTTCACACCTCTAGCACTGCGCGGTTGGGAAGTGGCGTGCTCTGCTCTCCTCCTTTTCTTAGGGGAAGAGTGACCTGCCTCCGTGCTTGGGGGAGGCTGGTTTTCTTAGCCCGGCCTACCTCACGATCTTTCCTTTCCCTCTCCTTGCACTGAAAGCTGTAACCCGTGCTCTGAGGGAAAGGCGTGCTTTGAGTCCTTTAGCAAACACACGCGAAGTGTGGAAGGGGGAAGGCATCAAACTGAAGCTGTAGGGTCAGGGGAGGAACTGCTGAAATGGACTGCAGAGAGTGGTAGAAAAAGGAAAAAAAGATCTGGCTCCTCAATCGCAAAATTAAATTGAGTAAAAGGAAGGGAATTAACCCGCACCCAAAATCCAACCCCACAAACCTGCTTTAAAATGAATCCAAAAAGAGTTGGCAGGTGTGAAAGAAAAGCTACAAGATTATTGTCACCTGTGTTTGTACAGATAAATAATGCAGTTCTCTCTCTTTTTTTTCCTTAAATGCTGTCATGATAAAAGGTACCTGATTACAGGATGCGTTTGGTAGTGAAAGGATATCCTGTCACTGACAGGTGGCAAGCGTAATTGTACTCTGTTGACTTGTCATTCCCTGCTAGGAAACCAAGGAAGCTCTTAAATATTTTTAATGCAGCATGCAACAGTATTGGTACGCTTGTTTTTTTGGCGGATTTAAAGTATCAATGCTTCCCCTCACTTTAACGCATGCAGCACAGCAAATGCGGCGTATGCAGAAATATTTGAAGGCACATAGAACGACTGCGCATGCCTTCGCAGGCAGAGCTGGCCTTGGGAAAAGGGGTGCCCAGGGCCTCGCTCTTTGGCGCAGGCGTGGGGCGGGCTGCACTGGCCCGGAGCAGAGAGCAGCTTGTTCTCACCCTCTGGGCCGTGGCATCCCACAGGCAGGGGGCAGATGAGGCACCACCCTGGGCAGGGGCAGCAGCGTCGCTCAAGGACCTGGTTGGGGAAGGGGCTTCCAGCTTTGTAGCCCGCAGCCCATGCCGAGCTCCTCCTGCGCAGCTGCTGGAGGCAGGGATGGGCGGACAGGGTGGTGCTCCCCTGACCGGGCACCCTGCGCAGTTGCCTGCGTTGCCCCCTCGTGAGGCTGGCTCTGGTCACAGGGTACATGCAGAAAGAAGTATTTGAGGGCACACCTGACTGTTGAATGTGCTTTCACAGAACTATTTCCTAAAGAATATCAGAGATTAAAATGGAGTTGATGACTATTTCAGATAATTTGAGTGCGTCAGGTACAGTAATTAGCATCTTTTTAATGGAATAAAGTCCCTATCCTTTTTTTTTTTCCTTTCTTTTTCTAATTTGCTACTTAATAATCCAGCTAAGTAACCAGTTATTTTTCAGAGTTGCAAATTGATGGAATTTTCTTCTAACAAATTTAGCTTTCTTGTGTGCATGTGAAACCTAAAGTTAAAGTATATGTGTTTTTTTTTTTGACTGCATAAAACTGACTGAAGGATGAGCTAACGCCTTTCAGCCCAAACCCTAAGGAAGATCAGACTATCTGATAAATACAGTTGTGTAGAAATAGTCACTTAAAAAAAAAAAGAAAAAGAAGCTAAAAATAGTTTCAGGTTATTAGTCCTATTAGTTTTTGTTTTTTTTGCCATTATATTTGTATATTGTTAAAAGGTAATTTTCACTTCCGTCTCATAGAGAGATTTACCCAAACAGGGAAGTTACCTAGACACAAAATACAGGCAAAGTAGACAAAAACAAATAAAGTTATTGTCCTGTTTGAATTCCTTAATCCTAGACATCTCATGTAACAGTGGTAGGTAAATGCATTCAGGTGGAAATGGGATGGCTTTTGTAAAGTTGAGCGTCTCTGTAAGATCAACACAATTCAATACTCAATTTGAAATATCTTTTTATGAAAGTTTACATGGGATTTTAAATTATTAACTTCTCAAAAATCAATTTAACTTTTAGGTATGAAGAAAATGTTATTTTTTTTAACTGTAATTATTTAAAACTGAACATCCTCCTTATTGTGGCTAAAGAGGCCTATGCAGTTTACCAGCTTTTGCTGAATGTTGGTCTTTGGATTTGATGAGTTCTCTCTCTCTTACCATGATCCCTCAGCTACGTGATAAATGGAAAATGTTTTGAAAAAAAACAATACTTGTAAACTCTCATAAGTGAGAAACTTGAAACATTAATTGCTCTGTGCCAACACAAACAAATGTCAAAATCCACCATGAAGAATCAAGGTAGTGTTTTGCCTTGACTGTAAAACATCATGCATTTATACATACTTGTACATATGTATGTAAGCACCTGCATAGTACAACAAAAGAATTGAGATTTTATATCGTTATAATTTATGGGAATCATTCAAAAAAACAGGAAGTACAGTAGCAACATTATTAGTGTAGGGGCCATTATTAAAATTTCTTTGTGAACAAAAGTGTCTTTGAATTTTTACTCGGTGGCTTGCCCGTGGGCATGTCTTACTATCCTCTGACCACTACCTGTATCAGTTTGCTGGTGTCTTTCTTTTCAAGCCAGTGCATGTTGTTGAATCTTGATGTGCATGGTAAAGTTCAATTTAGAATCCAAACATGTTTCTTTTTATAGCCCCTCTAGCAATTGGAGTATTTATAACATCACTGTTAAGTATAGCTGTGAAATGAATTATGATGTTATATAATACTCACAGATGACACTCATTGTGGAGCCAAAATTTCTTGTAAAATAATAAAAAGAAGATAGAATAAAAAGCGTTGCCAGAAGCTGAAAATTGTGTTATTTAGAAGCTGCTGCTGCTTTTCGCTTTGACATGGATAGGACAATATGTGGTTTATATTATTAAATCTGTTGCTTTCTTATCAAAACCCGTAATCGTATATTTGAATATGAGAATTTTCAGTGTCACTAGAAAGAGTCAATAACTAAATATGTTTTAAAAGTTTTTTTCTCTCTCTTTTCTTTGCAGGGGGTTTGGGAAGCAAGGATTTCAGTGCCAAGGTAAATCACAAATATTTTATTGATTGGTAAATAATGTCACTCTTGATTTTAATCCAGTCAAAGGAAGAAAGACATAGCAAGAAGGAAGCAAATACTTCTGAAAGCTTCCTGAATGATCTCTTGTGTACATTGGAAAGGAGTATTGTTTAATTAGCAAAATAACTTCTAAAAAATGTAAGAGAGACCAGTAGGAAGTTTCTTTAGCACTCAAATTGAATGTCATATAGTCTTTATAGGCAGACGGGGTTCTTTGATAAGTGTGGTAGCTTTTATTAGACCAATTAAATAGTTGCAAAGATTGTTCTTTGCAAGCTTTCAGGCACAAACACCTTTCTTCAGGCAAAGAAAGGGTGTTTTTGCCCGAAGAAGGGTGTTTGTGCCCCAGAGCTTTCAAAGAACAATCTTTGCAACTATTTAGTTCATCTAATAAAAAAAAAAAAAAAAAAAAT